AGACTTCGACGTGCATCGCGGCGAGCGGCTCCTCAACAAGTACCGCGTGGCTGGAGAGGAGCTTTTCGGCTATGCCTACGGAGCCCAGGTACCCGAATTTCAGAGGGTGCCCGCAACCATGACCGTTTGCACAGAGAGGCCACATGCGGCCGCTTGCAATGCGACGAATACAATGACGCCAAGCTCCAATCAGATGATGGTGATGTGCGATGGAATCGGGTGGGGAAGCTTCCACGTGCCAGAGGCAGCTCCTGCGTTGCCTCGGCCTATCAGCCTTGATTTGCAGTGCATCATTGACAACATGCTCCGTTTTGCAGCACATGGGGCCTGAGCAGGCCGCACAAATCCTGAAGGACACCGCCGCCATGCAGGGAGCGTATGAGGATTGAAGGGCAGCGTGCTCTGTACAGCTCGGAAAAACCCTTTGTGGTGTCATAGTAATTCAGAGAAGCAATTTGACAATGGACGGAGTCTAGCCCGACCGGGCCAGCATGCTGCTGTCGAAAGTCGCTGTGTGAAGTCTGCCAGAAGCTTGTCGTCTTCTTCTGGGGGGAACATCAGGTGAAGTGTGTCACGTGCGGTTGGCCTTGTCATGTTTGATATGCTGACAACCAGTAGTAAGTGCACTTGTTGCGCACGAAAGTAGTTTGCATCTGTTTGCGCTGCTCGCGGGGCTTCAAATTCATGTATTTGTTGCTTCGCAGGCACTTGTGCTGCACTCCTGTCAGTGTAGCTGAAAGGCAGGTGGTCGTCCCAGCACATAGCGCAGTGACACGATGCCGTACGGTGGCCGCCGTCGCCGCAGCGAGTGGGACCATGGCGGCCAGTGGCAGTGGAGGCAAGCAAGCGATGGAAGGCCTTGGCGAGATGCACCCAAACACCCTATAGATTTGATAGGTTGTGCTAGGAACTAGCAAAATATAGTTGTTGATCCATTAACGCTGCACTTCAATGGCCCTGAGATGCTCTCAGTCCGTAATTGCCATCCCCGAGTGTCAGGCGACACAGCTCTCGGCGAGACTTCGACGTGCATCGCGGCGAGCGGCTCCTCAACAAGTACCGTCTGGCTGGAGAGGAGCTTTTCGGCTATGCCTACGGAGCCCAGGTACCCGAATTTCAGAGGGTGCCCGCAACCATGACCGTTTGCACAGAGAGGCCACATGCGGCCGCTTGCAATGCGACGAATACGATGACGCCAAGCTCCAATCAGATGATGGTGATGTGCGATGGAATCGGGTGGGGAAGCTTCCACGTGCCAGAGGCAGCTCCTGCGTTGCCTCCGCCCATCAGCCTTGATTTGCAGTGCATCATTGACAACATGCTCCGTTTTGCAGCACATGGGGCCTGAGCAGGCCGCACAAATCCTGAAGGACACCGCCGCCATGCAGGGAGCGTATGAGGATTGAAGGGCAGCGTGCTCTGTACAGCTCGGAAAAACCCTTTGTGGTGTCATAGTAACTCAGAGAAGCAATTTGACAATGGACGGAGTCTGGCCCGACCGGGCCAGCATGCTGCTGTCGAAAGTCGCTGTGTGCAGTCTGCTAACCTTCCGTTTCCTCAAGGCCCCTAAACCCTAAACCCCTAAACCCTAAACCCTAAACCCCCGCTTCAAGCGCAGGAGATCGAGTCCAAAGTCGTCCCCGATGACGAGTGCTACTGTGCGGTGTTGCGCAGCTTCTGCACCTCCGGGGACGCCGCGCAGGTCAAGGCGGAACACATTTTAGGGCCTGAGCGCTCAGGGCTTAGGGCTCTACCTTAACCTACCAGAACCTACTTTTTTGTAGGGTCCCTATAAATCCCATATTAGGGTTTATAATAAACACCTACAAAAAGGTGGGTTATGGTAGGTTAAGGTAGGGTTTAAAGTTCAGGGCCTTGAGTCTTGAGTTTTTAGGGTCACTGTTAAGAGTCAAGATCGAGTGTGGGATTTGTGTAATGATCATGTTTCTGCGACGAGTGGTGGTGGGGAAGCTTCGCTGAACGAATCTATGCAGATTACATGTGCATGTGCATGTACATGCACACATACATAGACGCAGATATAGATTTGGATATCGATGCAGATGTAGATATAGACACGCACACACCTACTCGACGTTTTGAAACTATCCTCATAATTCAAGCTGCAGTTTAACCGGTATGCTTGAGATCCACAGTGGCAATGATGATGCTGATAGTTGATACGGACACTAACAGCTAGGATGGCGTCATCAATCGAAGCAACGGCGACAGAAGTACGTAGAATGTGTATAGCTATTGGTGTAGACGTTTGTAGTCAGCATAGCAAGCATCGGATTGCAGAGCACGCTCGAGTCTGGAGCAGCAGCGGTTGCAATCGAAGATCCGGGAGCCCTCTTTGCGCTTCAAGGCCCTTGCGACGAGTCCAAGCCTAAGATTACCCAAGAGTCCGAAAGCAATGGCTCGCTATGCTCAGAACACCACCATCGGCAACACCTGCCCCTGGGGCAACGGTGATGCCAGCTTGCCGGATGCCTTCACCATCGCTGCCGAGAAGGCCGCCCGGCGACGTGAGTCCAAGGAGGCCGTAACGGCCGTATCGGAAGAAGCCAAGGATGTGGCTCCCGCCGAAGAGAAGGCGACCGCCCGCTCCGAGGTTACGGCCACCGCGCGCTCCCTGGCCTCGCGCGGCACCCGAGCCTCGCGGGCCTCGCGGGTGGACACCGGCCGCACGGAAGCGATGGAAGCAAAGATGATGGATTTGATCGAGAAGTGCGTGGACAAGAAGGTGCTTCAGATGCAGCTCCAGCCCCCTGCCGGCCCCACCGGCCCTACCGGTTCCGGCCGCTCGGTGCGGACAGCCACCGCTCGCTCTGCTCGCTCGGCCCGTTCTGTGAGGTCGACAGAGAGTGTGCTGAGCCAGCCCGGGGTACCATCCCACGTCGAGACTGACACCAGCGTGAAGGCAGAGCCGCAGCCAGAAGCTGTGACTATGGCCGGCAAGCGGGCTCAGGCAGCAAAGCTCTCTGATGCTGCTCTCGGGCAGTTCGATGACGACCAGCGTCGCCTGGCCTACCTGGAAATGCAGAAGAGTGCGGCGGAAGCCCGCAACAAGAATCGCTCCGCTCTCACCTTCGGCTACGAGCCCCCGTCTCGCGTGGAGGAGGGGAAGGGCGAGACCATGGCTGGGAAGCGCGCCCAGGCTCAGAAGCTCTCGGATGCCTCTTTGGGCAAGTTCGATGCGGACGAGTCTCGCCTTGCGTACCTGGAGATGCAGAAGAGTGCTGCGGAGGTGCGCAACAAGAACCGCTCTGCCATGTCCTTCAACGAGCCCCAGGCCCAGCCCTACCCCGCTTTGCTGCGCGAAGTGGATGGCTTGGCTCATCCGACCATGGCCGGCAAGAGGGCCCAGCGGGAGAAGGTTTCGGAGGCGAAGCTGGGAAAGTTCGATGCCGACAAGTCCCTCGACGCCTACCTGGACATGCAGAAGAGTGCGGAGGAGATGCGCAACAAGCACCGTGTGGGGCAAGGCATCTTCTGAGCTAGAGAGTACATCCCGAAATGCGAACCTAGGGCTGGCTCCTGAGGAGCACAGCCAGTTTTGTTTATTATGGGGTGGCCTGATTTTGGTTCCAGATGCCTGATAGGCGTGCTTGACAGGGGCTGCTTCTTTTTCAGCCCCTGGCCATGTCATGCCTGAGGATTTACAGATCAATCAGGCTTCTGCGAGCTCTCCCTGTATAGACGGCAGTCTTGGCACTAGCTGAGTGTCCACTCCTACAAATGGAGGGGATACATGTACAGCCTATTTGGTGGCGTCACTCAGCCTGTGCCTCGTGCTGCTTCACCCCATGGAGTTTCAAGAGAGGTGGGCCTCCGATGTGTCTCGACCCACTCGGGAGATACTCGCAGGCATCACCACCCAATTTTGCGATAGCAATGGCTACGCAGTGGATGTATCAGAGTCTCGTCGCAGCAAAATGCACCGAGATGTCCCTGAATGCTGCGTGCAGAGTCGGCAGCATGCTCTTCTACAACCTGCATCTTCCTGCTGCACACCGGCCAGCCTTAAGTAGATCTCCGGAAGAAAGTCGAAGCATCAGACGCTCAGGCGTGGCTGGACCGCTTCGAGTGGGAGGGCATCTCCTTGAATTGGGAGACCTACACTGAGCTGATCAAGCTCGAATCTAAATAGGGTTTAGGGTTTAGGGTTTAGGGTTTAGGGTTTAGGGCTTTGCTTTGTGCTCTGATGATCTTGCTGTCGTGCGTTCTGGCAGGACCTGATAACCTGATCTCTCGCAGATGCTAGCTGCTATCTTGAGGCATGCTCGCTGATTCTACCCATGTCATACTATAGGGGTCGGGACCTTTATGTTGATGCTGCAATGTACCGGAAAGTCCCATTATTAATTACTAAGGTCCCCCATACCCTAAACCCTATCTCTAAAGCCCTTATGGTAACCCTTAGAAGTAGCCCTTTTCTAGCTGAGGCCCCGATAGTAGCCAGATGCGGTTCCTCCTCAGACCTGCCCAGGTTCTACACTTCGCGAGGTGAGCTGCAAGAAGCGCAAGGGGCCGAGAGTTTCGGTGCCAAAGCCACGCTCGGCTAAGCATTTATAAGGTTTGGCGTTTGGCATTTGGGGTTTGGAGTTTGCATTTGGGGTTTAGGATTTGGGGTTTAGGGTCTGGGGTTCAGGTTTCTTCCAATTAAGACTAAGAAGGGCTTTGAACGCGAGTTCGAACCTGCCTGCAAGTGTACGATCGTCGCCACACTCCCACAGGCACCCTGCACAACTCCTCCAAGATGCTCAGGACCTAAGCCGAAGCCAATAAATCCCATACCCTGTAAGGCTGTAAGGGTTTAGGGTTTAGGGTTTGGGGTTTAGGGTTTAGGGTAAGCCGAAACCCTAAACCTCAAACCCTATAAGCCCTGAGCAGAGGGCCTAGTTTTCAGTGTTTCTTTCTGTGAGTGTGTTTCGCTGGTTGAGGCCGGGAAGGACAGACAGAAGGCAGGAAGAAGGGAAGATACGACGAACAAGAAAGGAAGGAGAGGAAAGAACGAATAAAAGAAAGAAATCACTGGGGCCCCTGTATCCTACACCCAGCCCCGAACAAGACATCAACAGAAGAAACAACCGCAGGAACAAGTCCACCTGCCATAGGCACAAGCACTCAAACCCTATGCCCTGAGTCCGAGCTTAGTTTCGGATTCAACATAATTATACACGTCTACATATAGTTCATGTTTTCGTTTGTTATCATTCGTTATGACTAATTATTCGCAATCATAAAAGTATTTGTGCAACGAGTGTTTGTTGTTATGATTTTCATTATTTAAACTGTTTCTAGTAGTATTATGATGTTTTTATTGATATTGCTACTACTAGTACTGCCATTGCTAACTACTAACTACTAATTGCGAATTGCTAAGTACTATTTTTTTAAGTTACTGATTACTATAGTTACGAATACCAGCTACCAATTATTAATGACCAATGACCAATGACCACTTCTTCTTACTTATTACTAACTTCGAACAACCATTACTATTACCATTTTTACATTCATCATCATGCTTGTTAGTATTAGTATTATTATAATATTATTATTAGTTATATATTACTATTTTTATTCGATTATTATCATATTACCATTACTATTTTTATTATGCTGCTTCTCCTTGTTGGTATAAGTACCTAAACTCTCCAAACCCTAAACCCTAAACCCTAAACCTCAAACCTGAGGTTCCAGCTCTCGGAGGAGGTCGCCGAAGGCGACGCCTTTGAACCTGGCCCAGGCAGAGTTGCGGAGAGTTGCGTTTAGGGTTTAGGGTTCAGGGTTCAGGGTTTAGGGTTTAGGGTGCTTTGTAAGGGCTGTTAGCGACTTTGTAAGCCTTCCACAGTTTGTGCTTTTTGGTTCTTTGCGGGTTGCAGGTTGGCTGGTTCAGGGCTTGCTTTTGCCGAAGTTTCTTTGCCGGCTTAGGATCTTGGGGGCGTTGCGTGCACAGGGACTTTGGAGTTTAAGCTCTGCGGTTCGGTTGGAGTTCAAGGATGTATAGTGAGATAGGGATCTTGGTGTTTGTGGCTTGAAGAGCTTGGGTTTGGGGTTTAGAGCTTACAGGGTCTGGTGCAGTGAGGGTCATCGTCTCCCTTCCCCCCCGGCTCCTGCCGACCAACACTGAGGGGAAAACTCCTAGACCTAAACCCGAAACCCTGAACCCCCAGCCCTAAAGTCGTAGCTGCGGTGGCGTGAGCTGGAGGATTAGTATTCTTGTTCTTAGTCTTGTTCTTCTTCTTAGTGTTGTTCTTATTGTCAGCAGGGATGACCTTTGACCTAAAGCCGTGTCTGGGGCATCCTCGGCCCCAGACTAAGAGCACCAAGCGCCATTAC